CAAGCCTATGGGTTAAGATTTAATGACATCGAATTTATTGATTTTAATGTGGGAGGTGACACGGTGGTGACATGGTTGGCATGGTTACGGTGAACGAATCAGGCCGTTTGTTTTCTCATCGTTTGGGTTACTGAATGCTTTGACAACTTCGGTCCGGCTATTGCAAGAGGGAGGGTCTGACATAAAGCATAATTAGGAAAATAACTTGGAACATCACAGAACATAACATAGAACATAATATGGAACATAACGTAATATAAACATGTGACAGAACAAAACAATGAATTATAACATAACATCAACAGGGTGATGTAAAAGATTGGTGACACGAAGTATTGATAGTAGCAAAAAGACAAGAACGGGAGTGAACATAACGAGACATTGAATTGTTGGGCCAACTTAAAGCAATTGGCAATGAGCAGCCGCATATATACGTATACATACATATATACATTATACATATATAAATATACATATATACCTACATATACACATACATGCACTCAGTTACATATAGGGCAGTTATGTTAGTCTGTGGCTGTTATGAGATCAGAAGTAAAATTGACAGGATGCATAGATCAAAAACATAAGAGAACGAGAACATGATAATGAAAGAACAGTAACATATAGTAAGGCTTTTTTTTTGGAAGTTTTATTTATTAATTTGTTTTTTCTTCCTTTTTCAGTAGAACATCTCCATCCTGGTCGTCCTCTGGCTCGCGTGTCTGCCTTATGCAATTGCCCGAGTGCAATCCCATAATCACAGACAAACGAGTCAGAGTCCGTAGCAAGTTTATAAGATATTCAGTCCTTGAAACAACTCCGTGTATAATTCAGCGTTGAAGATCCCACGACCACTAGGCGGGCCGAGGCAGGCAAAGTGAATAAATCGTGGTAATTTTTTATTTTTTATTTACCACCCCTTATTACGAGGTGGAACGGGTTCCGCTGTCGCCACCCATTCATAGGTACTTTATAAGAGGGATTCTTTTGAGGGTTACTTTATTCATGTAATTCCGTTTGTTGGTGATGGAACAAGGCTCCATCTCTGAAGGTGGAGTCAAATTCGTGGCCGGAAGACCAGCCTTCGGTGCTGGACATCACCAGCGACGTCACTCGTCCCTGACGTCAGCAGCCGCCGTCCACCCTGACGATCCAAGGCGGAATCGCCATTCCCAGGGGTTGCGCCCTCCAGCTAGTCCTTCGCAGACGTCCTCTTCTCCTCCTCTTGCCGGAGTTCCCCAACGTTCCCCTACCGAGGCCAACCAGCAGCCGAAGCTGAAGTGGACCGCAAGGTCCGTGGCAGTCACCCCAACTGCCCCGACGCCTGGTCGTTGGCGTGCAGCACGAGAGGCGTCAGAGTTTGGTGAGTGTTATGAGTGTTTGGTGAGTGATGAATCCTGTGTTTGTAAAGTGGAAACCATGAATATTTCCTCTGTTAGTGTAAGGGATGTTTCTGTATGTTCATCTGAATTTCCCAATGGTGCTCGAATGTGTTTATGTTCTGTATAACTCGTTGTGTTGTGAGTTTCATGATGTGTTGTGATTTAGAGGGGTGTGAGATTATCTGCGTGATATCGTCTGCATAGGAAAAACAGTTGCTGTGTGGTGTAGGTGTTGGCAAGTCGGCTGTGTACAGGATATACAAGGTCGGCGATAAAACGCTTCCTTGTGGTACTCCACTTCTCAGGTGGAGGGGGGCGCCAAGGTGGGTTCCCAGGCGTATTGTGGCAGTCCTGTGGCCCAGGAAGCTTCAGAGGAGGCGCGTGAGATGTGTAGGAAGTTGTAGTTTTGTTTTGTATTTAAGGCCGTCATGCCAGACCTTGCCAAAGGCCTTGCTGACGTCTCGTAGTGTGGCGTTAATGCTGATCTCGGCCCTTTTTTTTTTTTTTTTTTTTTTTTGTAAATTTACAGCTCACTAGGGAGCGGAACGGATTTCGCGTTAGCCACCCGCTTTGTGGAGCACTTGATTTCAGTGAATTCTTTAATAGGAGGAATGAACTTTATTCATTGGGGTGACGAAGCTGGCAGCTTCGTCCCTGGTGGTGGTGGTCAAATACTTGGCCGAAAGATAGGCCTTAGGTGGGAGTCACCACTCCTCAAAAGAGGACAGCTGCACTCGCAATCGCCCGAAGTCCCTCACAGATAGCCCCTCTCGTCTCCGTTCCGAAGGCCCACTCCGGCGTTCTTCACAGAGGCCAACCGAGGCAGCAACAACTGAAGTGGGCCACAGGGCCGTGGCAGAGGCCCTCAAACTCCGCCCTGAGGCCTTGCGTAGGCGCCTCGTGCCCTACAGTAGGTGGTCGGCCCCAGCAGATACCAGCCAGAGCTAGCCAACGGCAGGAGAAAGGGGGCGCGCCGCAAAAGCCCCACACCGACGTAGCACACCGCCTTGTCTCGCCGACGGAAAGGCAACCCCAGTAGGAGGCGCAGGTCGAGGTTCCGCGCAGGTTCGGCGGCGGCGACTCTTCGGGGTGACCCATCTCCCGACGACCGCAGACATCCATCAGCAGTCCTTCCGTAGGCATGGGTTCGAGAGAGCTGAAGCCGTCAAGAAGTGTCCGCAAAAGTAGATTCCCGGAAGTAGGTGGTAGCTCGCGCGGGAGCTGAATCGTCGTCCTGTGGTGGGAGAGAGCTGGAGAGATGTTGACGCTGCGGACGCCGGGAGAAGAGTGATCTCAGTAGTAGTAGTAGTATATATGATAAGAACCAGAGTTCTTGAAGGTGGAGAGGAAGAAGAACAACTAAGCGTTAGCTTCCTAACGAAAATGAAACAAGGTAAAGAATAAAAGATAGGGGGCGTAACCCTTTGCTTGTCTTTGCTTTCGCGAGCCTCTTTCATCGACCATGTGGATTGTATTTACTTAGAGAAGTATAATACAATATTTACAGTTCATTCACCCATTTGCATATTTTTATTTGCCTTTCATAGCCTCTCTTCTCTGTATGGTGTCTCTCCCCACACATAGCCTCGAACCCCTTGAGGTATGCATGAGTTAGAGCCACCCTTCTTTTGTTTTATTTTTCCGTAGAATGATTCCATCTCTCCTGTTACTCAAGTTCTGTGAACGTGTTGTGTGAAGGTTGTGCTTCACACACTCACGTTAGCAGGATCTTGGTCCCGTGGAGAGTTTGTTAATCAGTCCATCTCAATCAGCTTGTCAATCCCGGTTTTGTCACGATGGTAACACGACGGTGCTGTAAGCTGCATCGTGTAACCTTGATGGCAAACTCGTGACTCCAACTGACTGATTGAGTGACTGCTTCTGCCTCCCCGTGCAGTGTAACGCCGTTGAGACGTTGGCTTGCCATTGGGAGTTCCTAGAAGCAGTTTGTATATATAAATATATATTTTAATGTTCTATCTTCTATTCATTCAATCAATCACTTATCCATTCACTGATTGTTGGCCTCCTTATCTATCTCCTTCTGTTGAGTTGTTTGTATTTTCAATGTTTTGAAAATTGGTGTCTTGTAAGTATTCGAGTTTGCTCCAGATTGTCTGCCAGCCTGTGTATTCGGGTGTTGAGGGGCTCGAGATTGTACTCCATGTGTAACTCTCGAATGGAGGGTCTAGGGTGTGGTCATCTCACTCCTTTCGCCCATAGTACTGCTTTGTTTTGTATGCCCTGTAGTTGATGCCATGGAGTTCTGAAAATTGTGTGTAGGGGGATTGGTGGGTATTCTATTATCGGCCTTACTAGTGCTTTGTATAGATGTAGCTTTACTCTTTCAGGGCATCCTGAGAATCTCTTCAGTTTCGTCAGCATTTTTCCTTTACATGGGCTGCGGTGCCAGTGTTTGTGATTTTTAGACCGAGGAGTCTCCCTTCCTTTGTATAGTTTATGTTGGTGTAATTGAGGTCTAGATAGCCTGGTTTTGTTCTAGCTGCTGGAATCACTAGGAATTTGTTGATCTTTGTTTTGATCTTCCATTCTCCTTCAAACTTGATGATTTTATTAATATCCCTATTTGTTGCCAGCTTAATGAAGTTAGCCCGGGGAGATGGATGCGTTATAATCTGTGTGATGTCATCAGTATACATCACATAGTTGCTGTTCCTCTCAGGTGGTGGGATGGGGGTCGTGTTTATGTTTTACAGTTTTGGGGAGAGTATACTCCCCTGTGGGACTCCGCTCTGGAGTGGAAATTCTTCTCCAATGTATTTGTTTATACGGAGCTTGGCTTTCTTTCTATAAAGCTACAAAGGAGCTTTGTTAGGGGTCTGGGAAGCTCTAGCTTGTTTCGTCTAAATTGGATGCCTGGGTGCCACACTTTGTTAAAAGCCTTGGCTGCATCCCTTAAAACGATATTCACTTTGTTGTTGTTGGCCAGCATTTTTCTTGAGAGTAAGATTGCCGAGCTAGACGTGCACACTTAGTTTCTAAGGTCCTACTGTAGCCGACCCCCGCAACCTGCAGCACGGCATACTTCCCCAGGTTGGATCCAGTCAGCCGCCTCTCGAAGACTAATGCCAAAATCTGACTGGATGAGAACGGACAGCTCCCGGCTCGCTCATTGGACCACAGGCTCCTTTCGCTCCCGGTAGCTGACACAGCCTAGTACTACTTAAGCTCCAAATAGTAAGGGAGTAGCAGTCATTTTAAAGGTACCGGAAGACGGAATTTGGGCGGGTCACTAACTTTGACCTCTTCTTAAGTGGCTTTTCCCACAAAACCGACACAAGAATTACCAATATGATATCAGCATGCCATAAAGTATATTCAGTAAAGGTTTCACTGATGTACTCAACGTGCTGATTAAAAGTGATAATTAGCATTAATTTGGTCGTTCTTAAGTGGCCAAACCCACAACGTGTTCACTTAAGAGTGGCCGTTTAGGGATCCATGACCCCTTAGGTGTTCAACCAAGGTGCCAAACCTTTTGTACTCGCTATGCTGATTAAATCTCTCTAGTCTCTCCGACTATATAGAACAGAAGCTCGAGGAACTGAAAACTTTGTGATGAGAAGGGAAACACGACTGATGACGTGTCAGGGA